ATATGCAAGTAAAATTAGGCTAAAGCTAAATCAAAAACAATTGCAGCAATACATTATTAACAATAGCTAGCATGCTGAAAAATGTATTAAACTGAGTACTTATGTTGGAATGTGAGAGTTTTACCCATATTGATCCCATCAGAGAGATTTTATTTGTATTACCATTTTACAGGTAAGGAAGCTAAAGTAAGTGAATTACTTTTCTAAATATAGGCATAAGATAATTCATTGACTCAACAAAATAAATTCAACAACTGATGTCTTACTATAAATAGACTCTGCAGATGAACTTTAAGTTGTATTTCATTATAGATAGGATGACCTTATTACTTACTGATCAAACCAAGTCAGTTCTGATAATTGGGGGGGGGGAGAGGGGCAGTAAAAATAATTGAACTCACATAATTTTAAAAATATTTTTGTTTACTAAAATGGTTTATTGCATTGCTGTACTTATAAAATATTTCTTTTCAAAAAACTGTTCTTAAAAAATTTCATTAAAAAAATAGAATTCTTTCTAAAGAATAGAATAACACATATTTGTATATTTTTTTTTAAATCATGTCTCTGATAAATCAGCACATATGGTCATCCTATATAGGAATATAAATTTTCCTCTCTATTTTAAAGATCTTGCCCTGACCTCTAGCAATAATTTTAGCACCCTGGGGGATTTGCAAAGGAGCTCTGTTGGCACAGTGGTTAAGCGATTGGCTGCTAACTGAAGGGTTGGTGGTTTGAATCCACCAGCCACTCATGGGAGAAAGATGTGACAGTCTGCTTCCATAAAGATTACAGCCTTGGAAACACTCTGGGGTAGTTCTACTCTGTTCTGCCGCATCACTATGAGTCAGAATCCACTCAATGGCAATAGGTCTGGTTTATGGATTTGGGGGTCTGCAAAGGGGAGTATGAGTGAACAAGAGTTGAAGGGATTCTGGGCAAGAAAACAGAAGTGGGAGATACATAGATTTCTCCTGTCCTGAAATGAAAGCAAATGTGGATGGGATTGTTTGGAAAGGCCACTCTGAAGATAAGCACAGCCATATTCACATCGAAAGGGCTAGGCCACGATACACTAGAACTAGCAGCTGCGTAGAAAAGATGTAGTAAAATTTAATTGCTCTGGAGTCCATGGGAGGATATATACATAAAGAAATCAACCATGCTTCTCTCATGGTAGAGAAGCAAATGCAAAAGAAAGTGATGTATGGTCACAAAAAAAGCACAAGGATAATGCATTTTTAGAAAACTGAAAGTCAAATCAAATGACTGCAAGGTCACAAACTAGGTCCCAAATGTATTTTCCGAAAACTGAAAGTGAAGATATCCTCAAAATATCTGTGAATTTTCTCCTGGGGCTTCAAAGCTGTCTCTCTGTCTATAAAGAGCCTATTCTTGTTTGCAAAACCTCTCAAGCTTTCACTGTAAATAGAGCCTTCCTGTTTAGGAAATCCCAAACTTTCTCCTGCCAGCAGACGAGAAAAGTCATCCTGACGGTGAAGACTTGGTACTCACTCCTCCTGTTCTGTTCATAGATTGAGCATGTATTTTCTTGTTTGTTGCTGGTGCAAACTGGCAGAGTAGAGACTCAAGGGGAAAAAATGACAAGCGATAACTTCCCCTCCACATGGCCTAGAGTTGTACTGAGTGTAGTTAGGATAAGAAAAGAGGAAAATATGTATAAAACTGAGTGCTTAAGTTAGAGCGTGAAAGTAGGCCAGAAGAATGAGAATGCTGGCTTAACTTGAAAAGGCAGGGATATCTCAGAGTTTATGAGAATAGAAAATAGAAGAAATGAGGCAGAGGAAGGAAAAAATAATAAAAGTTATGGAGAGTGATAAACTTCCAACTGACGTACTACACCTGCATATTATTTTTACCACCTGAAGGCCAAAAAAAATAGTTGCATCTTCTGCGACAACACATTAGGGATGTATAGGAATAGTAATCTTTCTAACTGAGCTGAATTTTCAAAAATAAAGGATCCACGAGATCTTCATCTAGACATAAACCAACGTGTTGTACATGGTACTTTATTATCTTTGAAGATAAAAATGTTTAAATGCATTGCAAAATGGAAGAAAATGGCAAAATAACTGTGGAGGGAATGCAGTTTTAAGATAGCAACCCCAGATACCCAGAAACATGTTGCCTCATACCTTTATTCCTTCAGAAGCATGCATAATTTTGGGGAAGTTATGATACCTCATAAATATAGAAATTACTCTTAGGTATGATAGACAAGTTCAAAGGGTTTAGATTTAGAATTGAGGTCATAAACATGAGATTTGTGTGAAAACTACTAGCTGAAAGTTGGCAGTTTGAACCCACCCAGAGGCATCTCAGAAGATAGGCCTAGTGATCTTCTTCCAAAAGGTCACAGCCTTGAAAACCCTATGGAGCAGTTCCACTCTGCACACGTGGGTTCACCATGAGTCTGAATCAACTCGATGGCAACTAACAACAGCAAATAAGTGTATGTGTACATATATGATGTATGTGTACATATATGATGTATATGTACATATATACACATAGACACACATGAGGATTTGGTGAAGATTTAGAAGAAGGATATGCACACTCGGGACCCAAAAGAAGAAGAAAACCTGTTCAACACCTTCTGTAGCCCCACTTGATGAGGGGTCGCCATGTATTGGTAAGTTAAGTCAGTACAGTTCAGTGTGTCTCTCCAGCGGGAAGGGTGGGAAGATTTGAGTTTGGGGATAAGTCCAGTAGGTAAAAGCTTTAAGATCAGGCCTGGGATGGCTTTAGGTTATTGGAAAAAAAGTTGATTTAGGTGACAGGTTATGTTTTATAATTCCAGTCAAGATGCTATTTCAAGTAAAAAAGACAAGTCTCAAAATTTAGTATGCTATTGGCCCAATCCCTACATCACAAAGTTTGTGAACAGAGATATTAAATTGGGTAACTTATATATTTTAGTAGGAGAACTCAAGATATAATATGAAGCAGTTGAGATCTTTCATCAAGAAATGCTGTCTTCAACACTGACTGCTCTGACCGGGATCACAGCAGAGGGTTCTGGACAGAGCTGGAGAAGGATGTAGAGCATAATTCTAACCCACAAAAAAAAAGACCAGATTTACTGGCCTAAAGGAGACTGGAGAAGCCCCGAGAGTGTGGCCCCCAGACACCCTTTT